GAGACTCGTCTGCAGTTCTCCGTCCTTAATAAAAAAAGTCATAATAATAATGATGATAATAAATCCACTCATCACCTGGTCAGTAACAGCAGGAAGTGACCGCACAGGCTGAATGTCGACCAATCGGCGAGTTTGGATGAAAGCATTACAGACACGATTGATCTCCGGTGTCTGAGTCATAGCGTGAAGTTTGCTGTCGGCGCGCTCACGCTGCAGCGTCGTTCCTGCACGGAGGACAAACGCCGCAGCTTCCTGGAACGTTTTGGTGTCGTTTCTACATTTAGAGCGTCGGTCAGTGCGGCGCCCACGTAGGGACCGTAGCCCGAGAGAACCCCACGCCCCTGTGAAACCCCTAACCCTGCCTCCACCGGCTAAACATGTTGTGCAAACCCCACCTCGCAATCACCTTCACTGTGAACTGAGACCGCTCCGAGATGCAAACGTCCAAACGTGATGAGGCGGACAGGAAACGACGCTCAGCTAACCCCCCCCCCCAAAGAAAAACAAAAAACAGACAATTTAATAAGTAGGCTAATAAAGGGGGCATATTAGGCATATAGGGGTTTAGCAGAGCAAAATTACACACAAAGGGTAATTTTCATAAAAGTGCAAAACCTGTAAATTTGTTGAAAAGAATTTAACCCCCCCCCCCAAAGAAAAACAAAAAACAGACAAACTGTGGTTTCAGTGAGAACACACACACACACACACACACACACACACACACACACCTCGGTTAGCACCAAACACACTGTAGTGCAGCTGGGTGGGGTTGGTGGGGTGGGGAGGGGTCAGAGCAGGTGAATCTCCGCCTCCTCGTTGCCCTAACAGGAAGTGATTCTCCTCGTTTCCAGCCTTAAACACAAACATGTGTTCGATGAGCTGCAGCATTATTTCGAGACATGCAGGAGCTTCCGTTTGTTTAGTCGAGCGTGTGCGTTCAGTCATCGCTGGTCGCTCGCCGCCGTGCAGAGTCCTGCCTCAGGCACACGCAGCAGTGACACGGTACAAAAACGTAGTGCTGAGTTCAAACACTTCAATCACTATTTCACATCTAAGGTAACGTCACATGGCACCAAACGCAGCACGTTGGAGTAAATGTGAAAGAAGCCACACCCCCACCCCTCCCTCACCAGGCGCAGCGCGTCAGGAACCTCGACCTTCATCGTGCTGGGAGAGAATCAGGTGGGGAGGAGCTCCGTGCCTCCGTTCAAGTAGGAGCTCCTGTGAGGAATGATGACGGTCCAGCTTCGGTCTGGGTTCACGAGCGCCAACGCCACTCAACAGAAAGGCTAGGGGGAGGGGGGAGGAGAGGTCTTTGTGTCCCTTCGTTTCCAGGTGGGAGACCCTGTGTGGGGTCGAAGCAGCACCCATTTTGTGAGATAAGGCTTTGAGGAGCCCCCTTAACCGTCAGCCAATAGGAGGACTACCTGCTGTATGGGTCACCGGGGTAATTGTTGGGGCCGCCACCGCCAGGGAGGGGGCTGTGAGAGGAAGAGGAGGAGGGACCCGGCAAGGAGCTGTCGTCCGCCCGTCCGCCGTCAAACACGTCGTCCACGTCCACAGCCAGAGAGAGCGTGGGCGGCGGCGGAGCCCACACGGGACCGAGCTGTTGGCTGGCCTGCGGCGCTGGGCGCAGGTAGGACTGGGGCTGCGAGGCGACGAGGAGCGGACCGGAGGTGCAGGGGGCCGTGGCGACGGGCTCGGCAGTGGGCCTGGAGGCGCCCGTCTGCGAGCCACGGTGGATGCGGTGGCTGACAATGATGTTGTTCCCAAAGCCGCCCATCGAGGCCATGGTGGTGCTCTGCTCCCGCTGGACCACCGCCGTCATGCCGCCTTCAGCGATCAGCCGGCGGATTCGTGCCAGAGCGTCCTCGCCAGACCCGAACTCCGAAGACTCTCCTGAAGCAAAGAGAGCAAGAGAGACAGCGTGAAGATAAACACGTGATCGTCATCGTGTCTGCCCTCAGGTTTATAAATGTTCATCTTTAAATACACACAGTCACAACATTTCACCCAAAACACACAGACGCGCGCACGCACACAGACACGCGCGCGCACACAGACACGCACACAGACACGCGCGCGTCACAACAGTCACAACATTTCACCCAAAACACACACACGCACACGCACACAGACGCGCACGCGCACACAGACACGCACACAGGCGCGCACGCGCACAGACACGCGCGCGCACAGACACACGCAATGTTTGATATAAATATTTGTAACAAAACAAACGAGGTAAAAACTGAAGCAGAAATGAGACGATGATGACGACGCAGTAACAGGTTATTATGAGGTCGTGTTGAGAAGTCAGTGGGTGGAGTACCAGCAGCGGTGGAGGTGCCGGTCTCTGCTTCAGCTGGGACTTCCTCCTGAGCCTGGCTGCTCTGAGACGCCTCCACCTGAGCCTGAGCTGCTCCACTGGTGGACGGAGCTTCAGGAGGGACACCTGGGAAGAAACACACCTGATGAGACCACACACCCACACACACACACACACACACACACACTTACAGTGGACGGGTATTAACATCTTCATGGGGACCAGAAAAGTTTACTATACTTGTGGGGACAAACAGGCCTCGTGGGTCCTCACGAGTTTGAAGCATTTTTGAGACTCAAAATGTGGTTTTAGTGTCAGGGTCACAACTAGGTCACGGTTAGGTTTGGGGTCAGGGATTCATTTTTAATGGTTAGGTGCTAGGGAAACCATTATGTCAATGAAGGTCCTCACTAAGATAGTTGAACGGGGTTGTGTGTGTGTCAGTACTCTGAGCAGGCTGCGAGGCGCTCGGCTCCGACAGCTCCCTCTCGGTTTGAGTCTCAGCGTTTTGCAGCTGGATGATTGGCGTCTGGGTTCCTTGCGATGTCACTGAAGGGGTGGGGTGTCGGGGCTGCAGGCCAATGGCGTTCATCAGTCCCATGTCTCTGCCCGGCGTCCAGCCCGAGCGGTTCGGCCTGAAAATGAATCACAGGCCAATCAGAAACTCAAAGATCCAGACATGTAGCGATAAACTCTCACCAGCAGGGGGCAGCGATCGATGGAGAGGTGTGAGGAGACTGAGCTGTGTGCGTTTCTTTTTAGCCCCGCCTCCACGCTGTTCTTACCTGGTTCAGTTTCTGCCGAAGCTTTGAATCCATTTTCAAACAAATGTACAAAATGCAGCTTTAACCCCTTCAAAGCCCAGCGTATCGTATGTGTTTCTGTGAGCTTTCAGGCTTCTTCATCATCAGTGTGACTTCTTTACTCTCAAAATAAATGATATCAAAGTTTTTAATGACTAAATTGCAGAAATATGGTTATGTAACAAATTAGAATGCCTACATGCAGATTTGATATGTTTTATATACTTTGTCTCAAGGTTCAAACACTCCACAACGTGAAGATTTCACGTTTCAGGTTTTAAAAGGGTCAAATAACCCGAGCGCCCGTCACCTGCGACGCCGACCACGCGTTACGAGCAGATAAAAAGCAGGCGCAAACATCGCCGCAGGCCCTGAACTCACCCCGGCCTGTCGGAGCCTCGGCTCCGGCTCGTTCCGCTGTTGTTGACGCTGAACAGTGGCTCGCTGCTTGACTCGCTGGGGCTCTCGCCGTCGCTTCGATAGAACCTACACACACACACACACAACCAAAGCTGGTCAGTTCACTTCCACTCAGGAAGCCTCACGGGGGGGGCGGGGCTTCGTGGACTCACACAACTGCATTAAAACACACTAATCGGGCTCTTCCAGTTAATGGTCTTCCTGCTCGGTTTGAGGATAATCAGATCAGAAGACGCGAGGGAGCTCTGAGAGCAGGACAGCTGAACGCGTGCTCGGTTATTTAACGTCACGCTCAGTCTGCAGCTTCTCATTCGCACAGTCAGCTGCAGAAGCCTGAATCTGCACGCCGACCTCCATCCCCGACCAGCGTTTTTGAGTCTGAGATGTCTGAGACTTAGCGGGACTTTGTTTTCGTGCCTGCAGACTCACACAGGCCGGCAGATCACCAGGTCTCCCTTGTTGGTTCCGTAAGCCAGTCCCATCCCTGGATCCGGCAGCCAGCGAGCAGAGTTGATGCTGACGTGGCGCCTCTGGTCCGGAGCCATGGGGTAGACCACGTTGAACACCATCTGAAACACAGACACACTGCAGCTGAAGCACATGCCACAGCAAAGCTGCGTAAAACCAGCTTTTCCCAAACGACGGGATGTGGAGCTCGTCCTGGATCTGAGCTCACCGCTCACTTTTGTTTTCTGGAACGTGGACTCTGCAGCGCGGGGAGTGTCCCATTCTCTGTGCTCAACTTTAGAGAATGTTCTCCTGAAAATAACGAAACACTGGCAGTGGGCGGTACTACTTGCTATTCAGGATTTTTTTAAAAGTTGACCTCTGACTAGGGCTGGGCGATATGGCCTAAAATCCATATCGCGATATAATTTTAAGCATGTGCAGTAACGATATATATCACGATATATTCTTTCCTCCCAGCTGTCATAGGGCGAAAGGCGGGGTACACCCTGGACAGGTCGCCAGTCTGTCGCAGGGCTAACACATAGGGACAGACAACCATTCACACTCACATTCACTTGCACATTCACACCTAGTGGCAATTTGGATTATCCAATTAACCTAACCCAAATAACCCGGCTCCAGCGCCCCCCGCGACCCTGAAAAGGATAAGCGGAAGCGAATGGATGGATGGATATTCTTTCCTTCTGTATAACGTATTTTCCACACTATAAGGCTTAAAATCCTTTCATTTTCTCAAAAATCGAGAGTGTGCCTTATGTATGACTTCTGGTTGTTCTTACTGACCTCGAACCGATTTTGTCTGCAGAAATCTGTTAAAATGTTTTAGTACAGCTTTGATAAGCAGCACTGCTTGATGGATTGTCAGAGCATTACGGCTGCCGCAGTGAGGAGCTTCAGAGTAATCTGGGTCCAAAACTCCGTCTACTTCAAGTCCAAAAGTCAAACGAACACTGAGAGTTAAAAAACTCTAAATTCTTTCATCTTTAATTAAATCATCAGCGTTGCTGCTTTACCAGGTGGAACAATTAAGTTTAACATCCATGAAAACAGAATTTATTAAATTTAACGGAGTTAGAAGTTAACAGGAAGTTAACAGGAAGTTAGCTCGCTAGTTTCCACCCAAACATTTCATAGCATGTTCTGACTGAGATTTTTGAAACTAATTCAAACGTACAGCTCTGCTACCACTTCCAACATAAATGAAGACAGAAACTAAACAGCAGTGATGTTTGCAGGGTCACTGAAGTTGGACTACCTGGTATATAATGTTGTGCTACGTGATTGCTAGCGACACAGCTATGTTAGCATAACATTAGCACAGTGAAGCTGGACGATGAACACTAACTTTTTTTCCACTCGATAAAAGTTAACGTGAGGGATTCTGGTGGTCAGGGACAAATGCAGTCGCATAGCAGGATGCTGTACACGGGGCAACTTCAGTCAGGAGAACAACTGAGATCATTCATCCACAATACGAGGTTAGTTATTAATATACTGCAACAACATGGGAACAGAACAGCTGCGAGAGAATTCAGCATTAATGAATCAACGTTACGGAAGTGGAGGAAGCGCAGTTTTTGCTTTCCCCATATTTCAACAGTGCTTCATCTCTTTGCTGTGACTGTCGCCATCATTTGCAGATGATAATGGTTGTAGCCGCTGCGGTGCTTTCGACCAAAACAGGCGCAGCTTGATGACATCGTCAACATGCGCTTTCGGGATAGCGCGATATAGTCAAAATCTCTATCGTTGGACAAATTTATATCGTTTCTATCGCCCACTCCTACCTCTGACCTTTACTGAGATTCAAACTCGCCTATGGTACCAATTTCTAAATCCTTCTCAGGTTATCAGACTCACACCCCAGCAGCCTTTTACAGTGAAACATGAAATAAGACTTGGTGAGTTTTCATGTACGTGGAGGAAAAATTCCCTTAAAAAAAAAAAAAAAAAATCTGATTTCACACAAACTCTTCAACTTGTCTGACATCATCATCGTTTACATGCTGCCCGCTGATCTGACATCAGTTTTTCGATTTGTCCTCTGTAAAAACAAACCTGACCCGCAGCTTTCTATCAAATAAATCTGAGGCCCCTCTCACCCTGATGGACGTCTCTCCTCCGTGTGGCTGCTGCAGGCGGAAGACTTGCGCCACCATGTGGTCAGTGGTGGGATGCAGCAGGATCCTGCGGGAGGCCAGGCCCACCATCACGTAACAGCCCATCGGAGACAAGCTGACGGAGATGGCGTTTGGACCTGAGGGAGAAAACACCGCTGTCACCGTCACCATCCTACAAACCTGGACATGTGACAGAGAGAGCCGCCGTCTCTGTGAGGACGTACCGAATCGCTTTGTGTACAGCATCTCTCCCAGGTTGTGGGGGGCGAGCGAGTAGATGGCCAGGATGCCCTCGTCTGGGAAACCGCGCTGGCTGCTGGGAATGAAAACCGCCAGCAGCTGCCCGTCCGCAGAGATGTCACAGCTGGCGTCGTTGTAGATTTTACAGTTTGGCACCAGAACGTTGACTGAGGCTGTGGGGGGGGCAGAGAGACGGAGTCTGTGAGGTGTTCAGACAAACAGACTCAGAGCGGCTTGTTTGTTAAACCCCGTCAGAGTGGGTGACCTTTAACCCCTCCAAACCGGGCTGAGCAGGAACTGAACAGAGAAAGTTGAACTAAAGCGGAGGACTCAAACCCTCGGCCTCGCGCTGTCGTACCATTGCTGATCTCAGGAAGGTCAAACTTGGTGAAGTCCCACCACTGCAGGCGGTACGTGGTGTTGGCGATGTTGCTGGCGACCGCAGACTGACCGTCCCCGATCGACGCCCCTGTGGAGGACAGGAAACTGCGTCACTGGGCATGCTCGGTAACCCACATCTCCATTTGAAGAAAAAAAAAAAAAACAACAACTTTGTGGTCACCGTGTCCTGACGGAGGTCGGATATGAGCCGCCTTCTTTTTAAATAAAGGTGTGTGTGTGCGCATACCTGCGAGCACCCTGTTGACAGAGGAGTGTGTGGCGAGCCCGGGCTGCCCTCGCTCGTGGAAGATGCCGGCGTAGGGCAGGTACTCGGGGAGGAGGAATCGGCTGCGGGATGACCAACAGGAATGAGATGAGAACCAAAGCGGCGAGCGCGAGTTTACCAGGTTCAGCGGCGGGTTCGGAGCCAACTCACCGAGGGACGAAGCGGCCCAGCGAGGGCGCAGACATCCTGGCGTTTCGAGGCGTCCGGTGTCGCGTTCTGTCACTGTTGTCGCTGCAGAAACAAAGAGAAGGACTGAACAACCGCGACTCAACCAGCATTTGGACGCATCAAAACTCGTTACTGCGGTGATGTCATTCATCACTGTAATCACATGATCTGAGCCCGCTGGCATCGCCAGTTTCCCGTCTTGGTTTTGAATTAAACAAAAGTAAATTAAATTCAGCCTCTTCTGAAAACAACTGAATTTAGCTGTGGCCAATAAGAGGGCAGCTGAGACACGCTGCACGCAAACATATCTACAGCGCGGTGAAAAGAGCCCCGCCCACCACGGGAGAAGCTGGGACGGAAACACGAGGACTCGAGTCAACAACATCAGGGCTGCACGCTGCGTTTCTACAGGACAGCTCAGAGCGGGGCACAAACGCCGTCTGTGGACCCGCCTACCTGACGGCACGTGACAATAATTTACGAGCTCACGTCTGATTTCAGCGATTTTAAACATCTGAGGAAAATTCCTGAACAGGCGACTGAAACTTACTCGAGATCCTCAAAGTCCACGTCGCCACTGTCCATGGAGCTGGGCGGGTTGCTGGCCGGGCTGTCCGACGAGGAGGACGACATGGCCCGCAGCCGGTTCTGCTGGTACCGGAGCGAGCGCTGGCGAATGCTGTCGCGCCTCGACAGATACTGGATCATCCTCTGAGCGTAGTAAGCTGCTGGAGAAAGCCTGCACAGCAGAGGGCAAAAACTCTTTATCAGCAAGCGTCTGCAGAAACCTCTCAAACTCTGACCTCGACAGAGGCAAACCCAGCGACCTCGGCTTTGTCCATCATTTACCCAGAAACACAAGCGTGTGCAGCAGCTCACATTTAACCCCTGCTGCAGCGTTCAGGTCTTATTGGTGGGCGTTCACTTTTTTTTGACACTGTAATTTTTATTGATAGTTTTGTCACAGTTTAAACATAGACATGTATTGCATTACAGGAGAAATAACCATGCAAGCACACAGTGAAAACAAACAGAACTAAAGCGAACAAAAGGTGTGGGCGCCAATTCTAATCAACTACCGTATGCATGCCTGCCTTTACTCCGCAGCATACATACTCCAGCTTATATACGTACTGTTATACGGGCATGCATCAATAGATATACAGAGTCATAGACCTTAGATGCTTTGTTCGTTCATTAATTTTCCTTGGTGCCATATAATGTCCACTTCTCCCACTTAGCAACGAAAATATCTTCCTTTAATCTGAGAATGTAAGTCATTTTTTCCATTGCATAGATTTCTCCAACAATATTTAACCAGTCTTTTGATGAAGGCGGATCCAGTTTGTACCAGTTTCTTGTTATAGCTTTCTTTGCAGCTATCAATAGGATTTTTGTCAAATACAAGTCGTCGTACAGAACATACTCTCTAATATTCCCAAGATATACCGTTTTAAAATTGTGTGGTAATTGATAGCCCAAGATATTGCCTATTACAAGAATCACGTTCTTCCAAAAGTTATGCAGTTTCAGGCACTCCCAAAACACGTGCGTATGGTGTGCTTCCATGTTACCACATCTTCTCCAGCATGGCAAACTGTCTTGAGTCCGTTTACTTTTGATTTTTGGTGTAATAAAGAATCGAGTAAGATGTTTCCACCCAAATTCTCTCCAGCATCTTGAGTTAGTCGTTGTGTTCTGGGTTTCACACATATCTAACCATTCCTCAGTTGAGATATCAGTTTTTATTTCCTGCTCCCATTTCTTTTTTATGTATTCAGTTGATGTTGCAGTGTTCTCTCTTAGATTTTTATATAGTACAGAAATCTCCTTGAATTGGAGGCCCCTGTATGATTTAATTATACAATTCAGGATGCCATAAGACGTACGCGAACTTCGTACTTCCTTTGAAAAGTAGTCTCTGAGTTGCAGGTACCAGTAAAATCGGTTTTCTCTAGACTATACCGATCTTTTAAATCTTGGAAACTCATCAAATGGCCATCTTTCATTACTGTACAAATCGCTGTTATTCCTTTTTGTTCCCACTTCCTGAATCCGGCGTTCACATTTTTAAGAACTAGTTTAATGAGCTCAACGTGTCAGCAGCTTTTTCTACGTTTAGATCTGTGTGATGTCACAGAGAGCAGACACCTCTAATGCGGTCCAGTGTGAGATAAAGGAGGATTATTCTGAACTGCGACTCATGCCAAGCTGGCCTGGGAGAGTTAAATCAAAGCCCATATTGAACCTAGACTCGAGGTACACGGCGGTGCTTCTGTACCTGGCTGGGTCGGGGTAGATGGGGTGGTCTCTGGAGCCGGACATGTCGTAGCGAGACAGTGACAGGAGAGAGGATTCCAGCAGCCGCCTGGGCGAGAAACAGAGGCACACAGAGCGCGCTCAGTGTTCGAGACACAGATGGTAGCTGATTATAAGCACTGCTTTCATGCTCAGCTGACTGTGTGATATCAAGCAGACAGACTCCAAAGTCACCCTCACAGTGCTGCCTTAAACCTGCATTCTTCCTAAAGCCCAGCAGGGGGCTGAGCTCAGCTAACACTCTCCTGGTGAGTTCACGAGTAAAACAAGAGGCTCGTTTAGGAGCTACGGTCCGATGGAAGGACCAGAATCTGACCTCATAAAGCTGCGATGGTGAAAAGAAAAGGTGACGTACCTCCTGAGGGAGTCCTCGTCTGGCGGGTCGACGGGCATTTCTTGGCTTAAGGCCTCCGGTGGCTCCGCCGGCCGGCCTGACGCAGCCTGCCGGTACACCCTCTCCCACTGCGCTGTGTCCTGGTTGTACACCAGGCCCACCGTCTGCTCCCCGGGCTGGGTAGAGGACGGGGCAATGGGGAAGGCCACTCCTGTTCCTCCCACTGTTGCTGCTGGGGGAGGCGGCTGCTCGCTGGACTCAGGAGGCGCCCTCCTCTCCTGTGTTTGGACTTCTAGCATCCTTCTGGCCTCATCGGGCTGCCAGTGAGAGGAAGGAGAGGGAAAAGAAGCAGAGGAGGAAGAGGGAGGCTCCAGCATGGAGGTGGAGGCGGAGGAGGTCTTGCGTTCCCAGCGCTGGGAGTCGTGGTTGAAGGTGAGCAGGTTGTGGCAGGCCCGGCAGCGGTTCAGGTGACCACGGGAGGCGGGGGGAGGGACGTTGTTCTCCAGGCTGTGGGAGCTGGGGGGCGGGGGGAGGGGAGGCTGGTAGTGGATGATGGTGGGGGTGGAGGAGGATGAGGAAGGCCCGGGCCGGTCCGGGTCCATGTTGTTGTTGAGCAGTTCCTGACTCTGCTCCTGGCCTCCGTCGGCCATGGCGCCGCCCAGTGCCGGCTCCATGTCGATGGGGCCGATCTCCAGGAAGTAGCGGCTCAGGTTGCACTGCAGCACGTTGCGGAAGGAGGCCGTGTTACCACGGGCACTGTCCCAGAACGGGTGATGCCCGCTGCTCGTGCTGGCGGTATCCCGGGCTCCGGGCTCTCCCTGCTGGGGGAAACCCCGCCCCTCGGTGGCGGAGGTGTAGACGGGGGTGTGAGAGGAGCCCTCCTGCTGGCGGAGCACAGACAGAAGGCTGATGGAGGAGGAGGCGGAGGTTCTGGGAGGCAGCATGCCAGGATTTATCCCCCCCTCCCTCACACTCAGCAGGTTGCGAGTCCAGTCGGGTGCTGGTCTGGGCGTGGAGTGCGGCTCGTGGCCGCCCGGAGGGGCGGGGTTAAGAGAAGCGCCGGCGCTGTAGTAGACAGAGGTAAAGGCGGAGGTTCGCTCCGAGGGCTGTCTGGGCTCAGTACGAGCTGAGGAGAAGGTGGAGGCCGGGGGAGGCTGGAGTGAGTCCGATGATGCCCGTGGATCGGGCGGAGGCACAGAGGCTCCGTCTGGCTGGGGCGCCGTTCGACTGATGGAGCAGCGACTGCACATGCACACCATGCCCAGGTGCTGGGTGCAGCCGGGCAGGGGCGGACCACGCTCCGAGCTGGGGTACTGGGCCAAAGGGATGCTGGGAGACTCGGCCATGTTACTTCCATTTTCCCCGAGAGGCCGCGGCTGCTCGCCTCCGGCCTGAGCCCCAGGGGAGCGGGACGACAGGATGTGGAGGAAGTTGTGGAGGATGGGCGTGCGGCGAACCGGCTGGGAAGGCAGGAAGGAGCGCTGACGGAAATGAGGCATCTCAACGCTGTCCATGGGAACCTCCGAGTCCTCCTCGCCCTAAAGGAGGCAAAGAAGAAGAAAACACCTGATCACTGAAGGCAGGTTAAACGGCAGAGACAGGACGACCTCTTCTACTTGTCACCCAAAACCTGCCATGGTGATGTCATCCTCAGCAAACGCATCTGCAGTCACCTCCCAGAAAAATCAACCAATCGTAACACAGACACAGGAAAACTGTAACGACCAAACCGAGGATCCACACAGGAGCGAGGGGGCAGGTCCACCTGACTCGGTGCTAGCTGTGCCTCAGACCTCTCAGTGCTCGGCACGCCCTCAGCTCCATGACATAATACAGCGTGATGTTCTTTTTTGCATTACTCGCTCTCTTGGTGAGGTGTGCAGCTGAGGTTGTAGGTGAACCATGGCGGTCATCCTCTGAAACATGACGCTACCTCGCTAAGAAATGGCTTCAGATCATCTTCGTACCTGCTGATTGGATGGATTCACGATCGCCGTGAGCAGGTTGTGACCGAGAGGGTCGAAGCGTACCAACCTGACAGACACAGAGAAGAAGTCGATGAAAACACCTGGCTCCAGCGATATGTTAATAAAAACGTAACAGCAGCACGCTCCGTTATTACTGTCACGTCATGCACACGCTCAGACTCGACCTCTGACCAGCGGCCGTGTTTAACCCACCGCACTCTCTCCGTGTCGCTGCCCGTTTTCACCACGGCGAAGGGCTCGGGGCGGCTCCAGTCCCAGAAGTGGAGCTCATTGTTGGTGGCGATCAGGAGCAGCTGAGCAGTTGGGTGGAAGGCCAGGGAGGCGATGGCGACGTTGCTCTCGGTAAACCAGCTCTCACTCCCGCCCTGCAGAACACAGTTACTCAGTTACATCTGATGTAGAGCAGCGCGATACGACCAAAAATATTTATCACCATATACATTTGAAAATCTGCGATAACGATATAACTGACACGGGACAAAATGCTTTACAACTCCACAACTTTATTAGTGCAAGAAACCCAAATCAATGTATTTTCACTTAAACAAGCAGCTGTTTTTTATGTGCATTAAACTTATATAAAAATGTAACAATGCAAACTCCTCACTGACAGTTTAACCAAAAGGCATTTCCAGTGGAAACTGGCCGACACATCCTCAGCATAACCATGTATAATATCCACAACACTTAAAAAGAGGTTAAACACACACAGTACGGTAACATTATGTTGAAGCACAGTACGTATCACTCCGCGAGGCTCCGCCTACGATAGCCGTAATGCTCCGACAATCCATCAAGCGGTGCGGCTTCGTAGCTTAGCAAAGTCGTACTGAAACATCTGACAGATTTTCGAGCGCCGTGCACATAAAATCGTTTCGAGGTCAGTAACACAACCAGAGTTCATACATAAGGCACACGGGATTATAAGGGGCTCTGTCGACTTTCAGAAAAATCTAAGGATGATTTTAAGTGCGCCGTATTTTCCAAACAACACGGTAATAACGACGGCCCGCTAGCATGCGCTACCAAAAATAGTGCTTTGTTGTGTGTCTGACGGACGAAAGCTAAACCAGTTCCACACCAGTGAAGCTGCAGCGTTTTACAAACCAGTTCAGGTTCATCGTTTCATTCAACGATCCGCTTTCGCTCTTCTCATTCTGCGTCGCCTCCATGTGCGTATGTAAACAAAGGCACTGCACATGCGCGTTTTACCCATATTCTATCGCCATGTTTCATTTTCCTAACGTTGCCCAACATTACACCGGTAGTACCGTGACATGATACGGCCCAGCCCTAGTCTGATGTCCCGCTGCGAGAGCGAGAACACTCGAGTGCAGCTCGACAGAAACACCGACTCCATGTCCTCATCAACAGGCTGACATGAAAGCATTTAGCACCCTGCCCGACTGCTGCACTGCTGTACAATGTTGGAGGGGGGGGGTACTCACATGCAGGTCCCAGATCCGGACTTCGCCATCAAGGCACCCAGAGGCCACCAGGCCAGGAATTGTGGGGTGAAAGGTCACACACCAGGGGGTTCTACGGTGGCCCACTAAGGAATGTAGGCACTTTCCAGTCTTCACCTCTGTTATGTAAATGTTGTGGTTGACGTGGGTCGAAGCCATGAGGGTCCTGCAGACACAACGTTTCCTCTGAAAGGCCCAGCTGAGACTCTTTACTGCACCTCAAACTCAACTATATACACTTTAGCTCATTTGTGTCTTTTTGGTAAAGTATCCTGATTAAACACCACTACATCGATAATACTCTGGTAAAAAGATCCAGTACTGATGGAGTCTCCGCCTCCACCTGTGCTCTGACTTCACTCACCTGTCAGGGCTGAAGGCCAGCAGGAAAGTTGAGCGAGGGCTGTCCGGCAGCTCCACCTTCTGTTGGAGACACAAACATTCACAGTCAGTGGGAAGCGCTCACAAGCACACACACTCAAACACATCAGCAACGCCGCCTGCTACGAACAATCCGACCGCTCCCCACCAACGCCCTCCTGAGCCCTGCGGGCTGGAACTGGACGATTTTGTTTTCAGTTCCTCCCCACAACGCTCTGACCCCCACAGCTCTCACTTCTCTAATGTGCAGCAGAAGCGCCTCAGACGGGCATATTTGTCCCACTGTGGCCAAAGCTGGTAGGCAGGCGTATCCTGGTGTTAAACGGCCCCCATCACATACATCCCAGCAGCTGCTGGGAAAACTCAAGGAAAAACAAAATTGATAAAAACTGATTCGGACCCATTTTTAACGATGATTCTTATCTGAAAAGCACTGATGAGTGCGTCACCGCACAAACAGGAGGAAGGCACAGAGCCATCAGAAAGCCTGAGCAATAAAAGCTAAATTATTAGCATGTCATTTGGGAGTAGGCTGTAGGGGGCGCCGTCTGAAAACGGTTTGGTTCTTAGAGGAAAGAAGAAGCTGAAACTTGCCTGACTCTGCCATTTCATCCAGCGGACTTTCTCCTCCACCAGGAGCTGCAGGAGGCGCTGCGAGCCAAAGATCTGCGAGCCGCGCTCCCGGCTGGACAGGATCCGGACAGAGTTCCTCTGACGAGACGCCATGATGCTACCGGTGTCCTCGGCTGATTGGCTGCTCACTCCCGCTGCTGCCAATCCGACGCCATGCAGAGTCTGGGCTGAGAAAAACAACCTGAAATAAATCGAGCTGAAAGAAACGGTTACTATGACGCTGCGGCGCGAAGTTGAGGCCAGGAGAACGAGGGGGCGGGCTTTGGGCAGGAATGTCTGAACCATGAATTTCTGATTTTGTGTCAGAATGAAAATAATCATCAGCTGCTGTGTTAGTGTGAAGTCAGCTGGACTCTTTCATCAGTGATGGTTTCATTTCCACACTTTTTCCATCAAATTCACCAAAATTATGAAAACAAGTTTTTAATAATTTGGCCTTAAAGGTTTATTAAAGGTTTATTTACTCAAAAACAGGAGTGAGCCAGTCACACACAAACCCAGATTTATCAGCTGACTCATCTCAATCCATCACTCGGCGTATTAAAACTATATTAAACTGATAAGAAGAGCAGCGATGATGGCTGAAGGTCGCACCATTAAATGGCCTTCATCAGCCGAGCTTCAGTAAAGATCAGTTTACCGTCAGAACACATCAGAATCGTCTCTCAGCAGCTGGGAAGGTTTCACTGGTTTCACTGGTCGCCTGCAGCTGGAACAGATGCTGCAAACACATTTACTGACGACGCTGAAGCTGAGCTTCCATTTAAAACTTAGACCCAAATGGCGCGTGCAGCTGCAGGACGAGGGAGCGCCGTCAGCGTCACCAACCGGTGGAGATCATTTAAATCTAACCATGTGTGATTTTCAGCACAGTAAGAAAACACTCGGATTTCATGGCGTCACACGCTCCACGGCGCCACCTACAAAATTAGACCCCACTACTGAAAAGAGGAACGTGCCGAGCCCGGACAGGAAGCTGGAGACATCCTGCAGAGACTTTTGCTGCTTCCTCACCCCCACCTTTGAACCTTTCCTTTCACTGTTGCTGCCATCCTTCTGTCACACATCTCCACCCACACTCTCTTTGGATGGTCGACCAAACTTAAACCCTCATTACCTCGGCTCCTTCCACCACCTTCAGAGCATACCTCCACCTGCTCCTCCTGTTAGCCTGTCCAGCACCACTGCAAACAGGAAGAAGCTCAGAGCAGATCCCTGACGTAATCCCACCCCCACCTTCAACACATCTGTCTCTCTGAGCGCACACCTCACCACTGCCTCTGTCCTCACACATGCCCCGCTCTCAGATGCGTCCTCGTGCAGCACCACAGTGACCTTCTCTAAACTTTCCATCAACACTCAAAGCAAACATCACGTCTGTAGAGCATGAAGCCACACTGCTGCTCACGGATCATCAGCTCTCTTCTTGCCCAGCTTCAACATCTCTTCCTCACATCTTCATCCCTCTGCAGTTACTACAGCTCAGCCTGTTCTTCAGGACCAGCACACGTCTTGCATGTTAAACAGCCTGCCCTCTCTCCTGGATATCTCCACACCTGCACAGGTATGTCATTAGGACCAACCACCTTTCCCCTCCTCCTCACTAGTCCTCTGCACTTCCTGGTTCACTAACTAGCTTTCATCCATTCCAAGTACCACTTCCATCGTTGCGGTACAGTCTTTTCAGTCATTAGTAGTCTGCATCTCTGTCCGAAATTACTCCAACCTGCTGCGCATCCTTTCCATCTCCATCCTCTGTGCCCAGCCAATCAATACCAGTCCGTCTCTCCATCCTCAGTGTCTAGCCTCTCATACAGCTCACTGTAAGTCTTTCCTGGCCTCCCAGTACCCCCGTCTTTTTTCATCCCACTTTTTATGTACCAGCCACTTGATCTAAATATTATCCTGTTACCACAGATACTGCTGGCGCAGTAATTATCACAGTATTTGTACTCTGAGACACACAACACTTCACAGTTTCAGTTCTGAGGGAGTCTGTCTCTGTGTGTCACTGTGCTCCTCTCATGAAGAGTTATGTGCAGACTGATACCAGCTGTGCTCAGTTTCTACAAACATCTGCTTTGGAACAAACAGCTGTTTTTGTTTTTTACATGAGCTTAGTCAGGCTGTTTGTTTCGTCTGTACAGGGTCTGAGACCCACAGGCCCGGTGATTTAACGTCATCACTTTGCAATTTGCCAGGTGAGGCTGTTCTGGTTCCTCAGGTGACCCTAACCCAGAGCTGAGGCGCGTGAACCTGAAATAAAGAGGTTCGGAGGCAGAAACGTCATCACCGTGAACACACCTGTCACAGTCCGAGTCAAATGATAAAAATACAGAAATGTTTCAGCTTCACACAGCTGACTGTGAGCCTGAGGGCCTCCAGCCGGCACAAAGCCTCACACCCCCGCTCTGCTCACGGAACCAGAACCGCGGTGAAGCGAGCAGAACCCAAGAGTGGACCTCAGCTGATCGGAACCGTCCGAGGAGCCCTCAGCGCCTACATGTAGCTCCCAGGCAGCGTCGTGCCGAACCGAGCCCACAGATCCAACACGTTCACCCGCCCGGAGTCCATTCAGAGAGCAAACAGGGCGTGAATGAGAGGCTGCTGCTGTGAGCCGGGCCTACCTTCTTTTATGGATCCATTGCGGCGCTAAGAGCTACTGAACAGCTAGCTCTGCTAGCTCGGCCGAAACGGAGACCGTGACCAACGAGCGCCGGTACGCTAAGATCCTCCGCTTTATCCCGATCTTCTACCGAGCACCGACCGCTGGCCTCAACGGGCAGCGCTCGTATTACAAGACGGGGGCGAACAGAGAAGCTTTTCTAAGGCATTGGTCCGATTTTAAAGAGGCTGCCCGACGTCAAACTGCTACTGCGTAACCTGCTAGCTGTTCGCTAGCCACATACTCAGACCTACCAACAGAGCCCAGACACAAAATCGTCGATCACGAAAGAGTCTGCTCACCTGCGCCAGGGCTTTAATAGCGCTGCCCGGAAACGAAGCCATCAAAGAAACTGTTTTCAAGAAAGGCGGTTTCACGCTTTATTGTGAGGGTAATTCAAGCACTGGAGTCCTATCATATATTGTTGGGCAGCAGGAAGCAGCTCTGACATCGATTAGAAAGCCTGGAAACAGTTGCTTTTATTAAAGAGATCAGAAATGTTTATTTATGTGTTTTTATTTGGACAGTTCATACACATAAACATCATTAACACGATAACCTGCCACAGATGGATCAGACACAGTAATTATTAAAATCTAAAATAAGTAAAATAACAAATAAGATTAGATTTTATTATTAAATAAAGATGTGCCATACGCAAGTATTTTTGTGAGTCCAAATTTAGGTTTAGTATCCTAACATTTCAAATTAAGTCAAACTTTTCATAAAAATCACTCAGAGAAAAGTTTTTAAAAATAGCTTTTTTTTTTGTTGACTTTGTTTACTCGTGGATGGCACTTTTTTTTTCCAGTAGTAGAAACAAGCTTCCATACAAATCCATAAGGTCCATAAACATTACTGGGATATTTCTCTAACCTGTGCAGGGAAAAGTCTCACTGAGAGACCAGGTCTCTTTTTTTCCAAGAGGGCAGCAGAAGTTACAACAAATACAAATGCAACACAAATTGTCTTTATTCCACTTTGACAGGAAGTTCCTAGGGCCAGTTTCTGATAAAGAAGGATTATTTTGAGCTGTAAATCATGCGAAGCTGCTCTCACGATAGGTCACTTTCGACAAAGCCCCATACTCTGTGCGTCACACCCCCAAAAAGGAGGCGGGTCCAACAAAATGTGAACACATAAAATGATTAATGTCTCCACAACATCAGCGATACACGCACACACACACAGCTGCAGGTGTGTGCTGACGGCCCGTGACCTCCTCAGAAGTTCTCCTTGTAGAAGTTGAAGCCGAAGTCTTCACACTGAGCTTTGATGACTTTGGCCAGAGCGGGAGCGCCGCAGTAAAACACATGTACCTTCCCTTTGTTCTCCTCAGACACCTTCTGAAACACCTGAAACACACACACAGAGTATTTTATTAGGAGCTGATACTGGAAAACACACCGACGCTCCTTGATTGATAAAACTAAACCGCTATTGGAGAACCATCATGTCTCGGTCTCCCCTCTACTTCAATAAAATAAACTCCAGAAGAAGTAGTTTCCTTTCCAGGAACTAACATCCAGGACCTTAAATGTTTTAAATGGCCATCCATGGCAGCCTGAAACCTCAGAGATAGGTTCATTGCTAAATTTTTCAGTCTTTACAAAATTTTAAGGAGAACTTTCCGAATTTGTGATGAACTCATGTGTGGTGACTCCTGACAGAGTCTGGTGCAAATGTCCCCCCGAGAAGCAGATGTCCATGGACGCTGTTTTCTGTTTGTAGCCTCTATTTAAAGCCAAAACATTTTCGTCGTGTTGAGCCTGTCTGATTTAGCCCAACGTTACTTTATCAGGTCCAGGATCACATGTCACCCAAAGAGGACACTCTACCAAAACCTTCCAAAACTATTCAGGAAGGGTCCCAAACTCTCCTTGAAAAATACCAATAACAGAAAAGAAGAAGACCAAGTTAAACCAACGCAACGCCTCACCTTCCCCCACTCGGGTCGGCCCGGTTGGGTTCTGGTCCTCAGTCCAGTGATCGAGTCTCTCTTCTCCTTCTTGGCCAGAAGGTCGAGCGCCATCTGCAGGCCAATGGCCTTCATGTCGTTCTTGCTGAGCGCTGACGTCATGTACATGTGCATCTCCAGGAAGCGTCCTAACAAACATCAGCATTGTGTTAACGAGCGCACAGCAGCGTCTCTGCAGGACTTTAAACACCACGTGGAAGGAAATAACTCAATAATGAAAACTATTATTAGTGTCTTCAAAGTCTGTCTACATTTCCAGACGTTGTCCTGAATCTGCTGCTTTGTGTCTCTAATGACATCATCATTTCCAAAATGAATTCGTTTTATTTCTTAAGACCTGAAACCAGCGGCTGAGACCATAAACTCGTCAGGAAAGTGTTTACTGAGCTCAGAGATGAAGACTTCCCTCACAGACGTCTATACGATCAATATTCACAGGAGATATTGGACGTCCGGTCGAGTGAACGTTGGCGCGCTTGCTGCCGCTGCTCACCGGTTATTATTATCTACTATTACTATTTTTATTATAATTTTTTTTCAGTTGCTGACGACAATTTGAACCAAGTATCTAAGGCGCAACCCTGCTTTGACTTGTTTTCGCAATATCTGCGGGCTTCTATTGCTTGCGCTGCAGCTGTCAGTGTTCGGTCCCTCCGTCTGTGCTCAGTGATCGGCCCTGATTAAGATGCGGATCCACAGGGTGTTGGTGTGGCTCACCTGGGTTTTTTTTATCCATCATTCATCACCCGGCGACAGCTCCTCTCCAGTACTCTGCTACGGATCTTTTGCAGCTCTGTTTCTGCCTGGCTGTCTCTCCACCTGTGGCTCTATACTTCTACCCGGACATCGCCTTCCAGCCCCGCCGCAGGTATATCCACCGAGGGCTTCGGCGGAAGTTCAACATCAGTGACACTAACTCAATATTTTCCATCTGGTCAAAAACTCGTGCGAGACTGACCACAGTGTGCTGGCCCACCTGGCTAGATCAACTAAGCCCACTGTCAGGCATGGCAACTCCAGCATCAAGTTCGGTCTATTAAACATCCGCTCTCTCACTGGTAAGGGACATCTCGTCCATGATCTCCTCTGTGATCGTAAGTTGGACTTTCTTTGCTTGACTGAAACATGGCAACAGCCCAATGACTTTGTTTCTCTCAATGACTCCACTCCTGGCGAGAAAGTAGCTGTGCAAACATCAAATATCTGCTCGGTTTATCAAGATATCGCATATTTGCAAAAGTGCTTCGACGTTTTTGGAGACGTCTGCTACCCACCAGCTCGACAGCTAGCCGGGAGCTTGAGGGTCACTGAAGCCGCCGAGAACGGCACAACTCCCGGCACATCATTTTCAGATCACCGCGGAGTTTCGCTGCTCGGGTTAAATGTAATATATAAGTCACTTAGACAACCTAAAAACGTTATTGTTGGGCTTTTTTCAGTGTTTTGTTTGTTCGTGAGTAAATCGGTTTGGCTGAGATTAAAGTTCTTAGATTAGATAAAATAAAACTTTATTAATCCCCCGGGTGGGTTCCTCCTTGGTTTTCACACAGCTGACTAAACGTCAAACAGAAAACTGATTAAACAAGTGTGAGCCAGTCGAGAATTTACACCAGTGTGCTGTTATATTTTAGATAGCAAGGAGCAGACGGCTGAGTTTATTGAACTCCACCGAGACAGCGGTGACGCTAATCAGAAGGCGAGACCGTCCAATTTCACAGCCGTTTACTTCCGGCCTACCCGACCCTCTGAGGATCCGGCCTACGTAGACCACGAAGGCTGGGTCCTCAGGAGGATGCAGCCCATGAATTTGGACACGACTGAAGTCTACACCGCCACAGCCTTAAAATTCAGGGAAATGAAGGACGCATTTGAGCGCCGCATTTCGAGCAGCCTTCAAATTGGGACAGCCTTCGTCGCGTCGCTGTGACGTAATCGGCCTTAAAATGCGGCCTTTAAGGCTGCAGACCCTGAACTGGGATACAGCCCCTGTCTCTGCCCCTCCCTCCCATTCATTTGAATACACTGCACTACAGCTCCCTGGATCTACCCCCACCTTCATATGTACTGTTTATCGGCCACCTAAGCCAAACAAGGAGTTTTTAAATGAATTTTCTGCTCTTCTCACTCATTTCTCTGTACTTTCTCCAAATCTCATCATTGCTGGTGACTTCAATATTCATATGGACAATAATAAAATCCCTCTTTCCAGAGATTTTACCTCCTGCCTGGAAAGTTTTGGGCTTCTACAGTACATAACATTTCCTACCCACTCTAAAGGTCATATCCTGGATTTGGTCTGTTGTTCTGGCATTACCCCCACCCATTGTAAAGCCACATTGTTTCCCCAGTCTGATCATATGTTTATTTCTTTTGATGCAAACATAACCGCTTCCAAAACCTGTGTCTCTTGTAATATCACTTTTAGGAAAATTAGTAATATCAACCCAGCTGTTTTTTCATCTGCCGTCCACGACCTTCCATCTATCCACTGCTCCTCAACCCCTCATGAACTCGTTTGCCATTATAATGTCAACCTTCATAACCTTCTTAACATATTTGCTCCCCTTAAACATCGAACTGTCTCATTTTCCCGTTCAGCTCCATGGTTTACCTCCGACCTTAAAGCTAAAGGACGCCAACTCGAACGTCTATTCAAGAAAACCGGACTGACTGTACATAAAGAAATGCACAATGATCATGTTTTGTTCTATAAGGACGGCATTGCCTCAGCCAAATCTGCTTACTACTCTGGTTTAATTAGTTCTAATGAAGGTAACTCCAGGTCCCTCTATTCATTGTTCAGTAAAATTACAAAACCTCCAGACACATTGCCCTCCCACATGTATTCTGTTGATTTTTGCAACTTTCTTATCTCTTTTTTCACTTGTAAAATCTCAGATATCCACCATCAACTTAACTCTGTGGGAGCTCCTGACTCTGAAGTAGACTTCCTGGTTCCCCCACTGTCTTCCTGTCAGCTATTTTCAAGCTTTACTCTTCCCTTCATTCCAAAAATTCTTGAAAAAGTTGTCGCCGCCCAGCTTCATTCACATCTCAATGACCATAATCTCTATGAACGATTTCAATCTGGTTTCCGCCCCAATCACAGCACAGAAACTGCTCTGCTAAGGATTACCAATGACCTTCTGATGGCAGCTGATTCTGGTCTCCTATCCATTCTCATCCTTCTTGATCTTAGTGCGGCGTTTGATACCATTTCTCACAATATTCTCCTGAACCGGTGAGCTTCCATTGGTATTAGTCACACCCCGCTTACCTGGTTCACCTCCTATCTCTCAGACCGCACTCAGTTTATCCAACTTAAATCCCATTCTTCAACTCTCTGTCCTGTTTCTGCTGGTGTGCCCCGGGGTTCAGTATTAGGGCCTCTTTTATTCATTACTTACATGCTCCCTCTTGGTTATATATTCCGAAAATATAATATAAATTTTCACTGTTATGCCGATGACACCCAGCTCTACCTTTCTTCTAATCCCAATTCATCCCTCCCACCTTCTTCCCTCTCAGACTGTCTTATTGAGATTAGATCCTGGTTCTCCTCCAATTTCCTCAAACTCAACAGTAATAAAACTGAAGTTTTACTTGTTGGTACAGCTTCTATCCTAACCAAAGCCCACAGCTTTTCCATTAACATTGAAAATTCTCCCACCCTTCCCTCCCCTCAGGTTAAGAGTTTGGGTGTCATACTTGATAATACTCTTTCATTCCAGTCTCACGTTAATTACATAACCCGGTCTGCTTACTTCCATTTACGTAATATTAACCGACTCCGTCCCTTCCTTCCTCCCCATGCTCTTTCCCTCTCTAATTTGAAGCATCTCTCTCACCTTCCGGCTCCTCGTCGGCCTGGTCCATTTCCAGTTTGGTGAGCAAACTGACAAACCACTCGAAGGACTTCTGGTCTCTGTTGATCCAGATGAAGTCAACCTGCAGGGTGAAGAACATCCTGGTGTCCACGTGTGCTTCATTGCAGTACAGTGAGCTGTTGTTGGGATGCACTTTTCTTACTTTGCGCAGCTTCATCTCGCTGTCTTTGATGTTCTCGCACCACGAGTATTTACAGCTGGGACAGTTCTGCTTCCTCATGCGGTACCTGAGCCGCAGAAACACCTGGAGTCAGTTTTATATTCATTTCATGATTTTACTCACTGTAAAAAACAAACGGTGGAGAGGGTGACTGAACACGAGAGACGTAATTATAACGCGTCTAACCTTCTGAGTCCTAAAAGTAAAAAAAAATGAACAACTTTTTATTTATTGTTAAAAATGATCCAGTATCACATAACTCTATTTTCTGGCAAAGCTGAAAGAGGACATCACTGGAGCTTATTCTCATTGATTATATTATCACAGCAGAGCAATGAGGAGAGATCCTGAATAAACGTCCAGCATGTCGGCAGATTACAGCTGATTATAAACTTGCAGTTTACACATGACTTGAACTGAACAGCTGGGCTGATGGAGGGACTGAGGGGTGGAGCACAGGTCTGTGGGCGTCTTACCGGTACATGATGCTTTGCAGGATGGAGGCGAAGGGTGTGATGCCGATTCCTGCCCCGATCAGAACGGCGTGTTCGGAGGCAAAGATCTGCCGTGTCGGAGTCCCGTACGGCCCGTCTACGTAACACTGTCACATGGCAGACATTCAACAAGAAGCTGCGTCTGAAACGAGCGATTCCTGACAAACTACGCCTGTGTCAGCTGAAGGTTAACGGTTTCACCCACAGTGTCAGAGGTGTTCCTCAGGGTTCTGCTCTCGGTCCTATGTAGTTTCGGCTAAAGCTGTAAGTTTTTCAGAAACAGCACAATGACTCTGACCAATGTTCGCTCTCTTTGAGCTCTATTTTCCCAGCAGAGTCGGTTTTTACATAAACTCTTTCTACAAAGAAATACAGATGATAGAAACAGTGCTGAGAACGAAGCAAAGGCAATGTGATGGATCTGCCAGGTCTCACTGCAAAAACATGGAAAAATCCTTTTTGTGTGCATATAGTAAGTAAGTAAAATGTATTTATAGCACATTTCACAGATAAAAATCACAAAGTGCTTCACAAAAAAATCAGAAATACAAATAAAAAATGTTTTTTTCAAACTCATATTAAATTATTTTAACAGGAAGAAAATTTCACATCATAGAGAAAAACGTTGCAAAATCAAACCTGTCAGTGTAAACCAGGGGTGGGCAATCTCAGTCCACGAGGGCCGGTGTCCTGCAGGTTTTAGATCTCACCCTGGGTCAATCACATGATTAGTTCGTTACCAGGCCTCTGGAGAACTTCAGGACATGTTGAGGAGCTAATTTAGCCATTTAAACCAGCTGTGTTGGTTCGAGGACACAACTAAAACCTGCAGGGGACACCAGCCCTCGTGGACTGAGATTGCCCACCCCTGGTGTAAACCCAAACCAAGTTTTTCACACATAAACCGAAGAATCTGAATCTGAACATATGAATCTCTTGCTGCCCTATAAGGAGCCGAAACTGCCTGAACTACCAACTGTCAGGGAGTTTAAGTCCATTTTAATAACATGTTCCTACACCCAACCTCCAAATTTTGGGCTTTTTGGACTTTCAGGGGAAAACCTGATACTGTGTGCGAAGGCTGATAAAATAATGATAATAATTGTCTGCTGGTTCAACACTGCCACAGAGCTCTTCTCACTGTAACTTATACACAATCATATAAAAACTGATTCATGCTCTGAGCTCCTCACCTTGATGTTGCAGAATCTGTGGTTCTCAGTCAGCTTGGCAGAAACCTGCAGTTTAGAAGAAAACCAGAAACACATGCACTAAAACTCTTCTGTCAGTAAACCAAACACACATTGAAGGTGTCATCAGATTTCTGTAAGTTTACTGGGCAAAGAAAATGGTTCAAATATATTTCAGTAAGGAGGGGGGCAAAGTGGCTTGCAGATGCAGGTGTTATTTAACTACATGTTTTCTGGAACTAATAACAGAGATTTCCAACAATATGATCGAGGATATTTGTATTTATGTTGCTGATTTATTGAAGCATGTAGATAAACTTTACATGTCTGGCCCTTCATAGCGATCATTACGACACAGGGATGAACGTCTCAGACTTATGATGTGGTTCGTTCTTCTCAGTGCAGTAGATTCATATTTGTTAAAGGCTGAACTCTCCTCCTGACCTCTCCTCGCTCTGCTGATCCCAGACCGTCTGGAAAAGGTTGCACGAGTCCCTGATCTCCGGACTCGGAGGCCTCGCCCGACGGCGAGCTGCTCTGTCGGTACATCGTCAGCTCGATGGCGCCGTCCTCATTAGACGCCACGGCTCCGTTACCATCGGCAGAGCTGAACATGTCGTCCTACAGGAAACCACATTGGAGATGTCACGCACAGGAAGCAGGCGGAGACCCAGCGAGTGCAGGTGTGTCAGAGTCTAACCTGAGCTCTCGGCAGCTGCCGGCGCTTCCGCAGGCTGGTGGCGAGTCTGTTGGGACCCAGAGCCTCGCTCTCCAGCTCTCTGAAGTACTCATACAGCCGGGTGGTCCACTGGCCCAGCGAGCGGATGTGCAGCCACAGAGTATCTGCAGAACGACAAGTGAAGACACAGAACTTACACCAGTTTCATTAGACGGTTAAAACCCACCCAGAGAAACTAAACAAAAAGGAGACCGAAGCTTTTACCTGAAATCTCATCAGAGAGGATCAATAAACACAAACCAACGTTCTAAGCTGAAAGGTTCTGCCATTCCCATCCACAGTTATACCTGCTGGAGTCTTTCAGCTCTTTGTTCTCAGTGTCAGCAGGTGGAATCTGCGGG